GCGCCCCAACTGAGACTAGAACCCGGTGTGCTGGCGCTGCAGGTGGAGGATTAGCCTAGTGAGCCGCAGCGCCAGCCAATGTTTTGTGTGTGTGTGGTTTTTTTTTAGAGAGGCAGAGTTATAGAGAGAGGGAGAGACAAGAGAGGCCTCCCATCTGCTAGTTCATTCCTCAGATGTCCAAAATGGCTGGAGCTGGGCCTATCCGAGCCAGGGTTTCCCACATAGGGTGCAGGGGCCTAAGGACTTGGGCCATCTTCCACTGTTTACCCAGACCATCAGCAAGGAGCTGGCTCAGAAGTGGAGCAGCCGGGACTCGAACTGGCTCAGCTCCCATATGGGATGCTGGTGCCGCAGGTGGAGGCTTACCTCACTATGCCACAGCGCCGGCCCCTGTTTAGTTTTCTGTAGAGGTAAGAAGACAACTTTAAAGCTTTTTTCCAAGTGTAGTTTTTCTACTTTGCTGAGGTGTAATTGACAACTAAAATTGTATATACTTAAGGCATACAACATGATGAGTTGATTAGCGCAGGTACTTGAAAAAGTTTATAGAAAAAATTTGAGTAAAAGTGTGAGTTTATTTTGGTGCAGAAGTTTTTTGTTACATGTGGAAAATGTGTATTCTGAAAAAGCCGTGCATGGACTCCAGATTTGGTTTTGTGCCAACATAAACTCATATTTTTAATTCCATTCTCCACAGCCTTGTGAAGTAGGCTGGTACCTGTACGTTCTGAAATGAAGGCCGCAGTCAAGTTCATTAACCCGTCCGTCACCGCACATTGCTTCCCTCTCAGGGAGCTTCACGCTGTGAAATGCTGTTCACGACTGCGATACAGTGGTCACATACGCAGCACAGCGTGGGTGACTGGTCGCTCCTGCGCATGGGCCCTGAGAACCAACTTGTCTCGTACACATAATTGTGCACCCTTTAGCCGGCGTCTTCAGGTTTCCCCCGTCGCAGCCTCTGGCAAACACCGTTCTACTGTTTAAAAAGACAACATTTTCTAATAACTTTACAAGTAGATTGTAGGCAGCGGTACTTCCCTGTGATTTAGTGTTACTTTTCAAATAACCTTTATGTTGGAGACCAGTTAGCCCACTTGGGCCGCTGGAACAGAACACCTCAGTGGGTGGAGCTCACAGTTCTGCAGCTGTGGCCAGGGTGCCGGCAGGTGCCAGGTTCCGTGTCTGGGAAGCGCCCCTCCTCATGGATGGCCTGATGGCACCTTCTCGTTGGAGCTCGCACTCAGCTCCTCCCGAAGCCCCTCCCAGTACCGTCTGATGGAGCCTTGGCTCACTTCCCAAAAGAGAGGTCAACACTGGAAGGCATTCCTGGCCCCTGACCTCAGCTGGGCCTCACACCCTGTTGCCTTCATACCTCACCCCCTCGGCCACCTGCAAGACCAGTTCCAGGAATTCCCCTCCGCCTCCTGCCCCTACCCCACCCCCTCCCCAGCCCCAGCCCCAGCCCTCCTAAAATACAAAAAGGCCCAGCCTCGGCAGTTGGTTACCCACCTCTGCGGCTTTATTTTCTCTGAATAAATTTGGTCTGGTGTAGATTCATACACTGCCTCCTTTCTGTTCTACGCCTCTTTGCCTTACATTTTTGTGCCCCTGTGAGGTGGCTCCAGTCTGCAACTCTTTTTTCTAACACCATCACCTGGCAGGCTCAGGATTCAGCACGTGAATTTGGAGGATGAGACACTGAGACCGTAGCAGTCACCAATGCCTTTAGTCAAGTCCAACAGCCAAAGCAAGTTCAGTGTGGTTCCGGGCCTCTGTGCGCCTTGGTAGGTCTAACGGATCGAGCAGTTTGGCTCCCCAAACTCCTGCAGGTGCTTAAACCCCAGAGACGCCTTCCTGGATTAACATTAATGGTTGATGGATGAAGGGTGGAGACCTGATCCAAGGTTGGTGTCTGCGCGGTGGGCCTGGTGGTGGCTTTCCAGGTCGTCAGGGCTTGCCCTGGGAAGCACCGGTCACGTTGGCTGCGCACGCTTCCGGGCTGGCCTGCTTCCTGGCTCACCCTGCAGTCCCGCCTCTCACCCTCTTCAGATGCCTACACCATAGGGCTGCCCAGTCTAGACTTTGAGTCTTCAAAACTGTGAGCTAAAACCTCCCGCCTTCCCAAGTAGCTGCTCTCAAGTGTCCTTTTTTCTTTTTTTAAGATTTATTTATTTATTTGAAAGGTGAAGTTACAGAGAGGCAGAGAGAGAGAGAGAGAGAGGTCTTCCATCCACTGGTTCACTCCCCAGATGGCCGCAGTGGCCGGAGCTGTGCCGATCCAAAGCCAGGAGCTTCTTCCGGGTCTCCCACGTGAGTGCAGGGGCCCAAGGACCTGGGCCATCCTCTGCTGCTCTCCCAGGCCATAGCAGAGAGCTGGATCGGAAGTGGAGCAGCTGGGATTTGAACCGGCGCCCCTGTGGGATGCCAGCGCTGAGGTGTAGCGGGTACAGCCGCAGCCGGCACCCTCAGGTGTTCTAAAGCAGTGAGAAGTGGCCGGTGTCATGGGCTTGCACACTTCCGGGTGTAGTAAACAACTGGAGACCCCCCCTCCCAGCGAAGTCATGAGTGTTTGACACTGAGGGCTTTGATGAGAAGACGTTTTCCACACTGTGGGTAAGGGTGGGCAGAAGAGTTGGGAGGATGGATGGAACAGGGTGGTAGTTCCTGTTACGCACCTTGGCCCAGTGAGGTCTGAGCAGACGTGTGACATGTCTGGTGTGTCGGGGGTGGGGCAGGCGGCAAGGCCGCAGAGCCCTGCGCCGCGGCTGGTTAGCTTCTGAGGCCAGCCCAGCCCCTGTGCAGCGAGTAGGCCTCAGTGCAGAAACTGCTGGGCACGAGGGGTCCCACAGCCTGGCCTCTCCCAGCCCTCTCGCCTTCAGTGCACACCCTCGGCTGTACACACACGGAACCGTTCTCTCTGCACGTGCTGGGCCTTGGGCCCTGACTCGAAATCCTCCCGGGAGACACCCCTGCGTGGTCAGAAGCACCTGTCTGTCTGCCTGTGAATCCTGTGTGCAGCACAGTGGGGAGTCCCGTGGTGTCCTCGGCCTGGGACGCTTAGTTCAGGGTTTTTGTGTTCTGTGTAGCTTGCCTTCACAGGGGCGCACGGAGCCCAGTGCCCACGTACGTCGGGGCTTCGCGGCTCCGTTGCTCGGGATTCGGCAGTACCCTGCGGCTCGAGCTGCACTGTGCAGTGTAAGGTTGTGTCCTGTCTGCCTGTGCGGAGGACCAGGCCTTGACTGGAGAGCCCTGCCCTGGTTCTCTGCCATTTAAAAGCAGTGGTACCGTCTGTCCGTTAGGTGGCTGTTGACGGTTTGACCGTAGCGTTAATGCTTCTCAGTGCTGTGCCCGTCGAGACGGTGCAGGGCCTCTTCTGATGGAGAGGCTGAGAAGCCGGGCCGACGGGGGCCTCGCCACTGCCTGTCTGTAGCTGGACAGAGGGCTCCCTCACTGCCCGCTCCTGAAAGCCCTGACTCACTCACAGCTTTAAAGAAGCCATCGCAGCTCCCATAGGCTGCCTTCCCTCCCTCCGCCCCTGCCGGGGCTTGGCCCGGTGAGTGTCTGGCTCAGGTGGGCCAGCCCGAGTGTCTGCAGGGAGTTGGCAGGAGTGTGGACGTCTGGGTGCCCAGGGCAGCTGGAGCTGAGGAAGGTGTGGTGCAGGGCGGGCGGGCAGCTCTGTGTCTGCCCCTTCCCTGGACGCGCTAAGGAGCCTGTCCTTGTCCAGGCTGATTAGCCTAGCGTGTGGTCCCATGGGATGAAATGCTCCTTAGGGACAGCCTTGCAGGAGGGGGCGTGTGCTCCAGGCGAGCCCTGCGGAAGGACCGGAGGCCTCCCAGGCAGCCCCCGCCTGGCTTACCCTGGGTGAGGGTGTTTCGCATTGAGTAAATGCTTTGCTGTCTAGACAGCAACTCATGGCATGGATTTTTATGTTTTCACAATTTTTGAAAGCTTTGAGCTTAGTTTTTTATACGGTTTTTCCAGCAAAGGAAAGGAGTTGAGCTTTTCCTTGTTGGTTTTTGTTCACAGATCGGCCGTAAGAGGACGGGGCTGTGTTTTGCTGCATCCCAGACCTGGCGGAGGAGGGAAGAGAAAACGAGGGTAGGTTGTGACTGGAGGGGCAGGGGAACCCCGTGCTAGAGATCGCTTCACCCGAGTGGGGATTCCCGGAGAGAAGAACAGCCGAGCTTCAGGAGAGGGAAGCTCCCTGTGCGGTCGGCCGCGCCGTGAGGTGCACCTGGCCCCACGTGAGAGACACACCCGGCCCCACAATGAGGCGCACCTGACCCCATGTGTCAGACACACACGGCCCCACAATGAGGCACACCTGACCCCACGTGAGAGACACACCTGACCCCACATATGAGCCACACTGACCCCACGTGAGAAACACACCTGACCCCACGTGAGAGACACACCTGACCCCACGTGTGAGGCACACCCAGCCCCACGTGAGAGACACACCTGACCCCACGTGAGAGACACACCCGACCCCATGTGAGAGACACACCTGACCCCACGTGAGAGACACACCTGACCCCATGTGAGAGACACACCCGACCCCACGTGAGAGACACACCCGACCCCACGATGAGGCGCACCTGCCCTCTTGGCACCCTGTGCGGCTGGCTTTCCCACAGGCGCTGCCTGCCCTGCAGCCCGTGCATCTCCGGGCGGTGTTCTTTCGGGAAGAGCGGTGCTTTCAGGCTCTGCTGTGGGCTCTTCCGTTGTCAGCAGCGTGGGCTTGCTGTTCCGGGGTCTGGACTTTGTTTTTGATCACAGTTTTGTTATGTCAGTACATTCTGTTTGAGAGTTTGTATTGTATATAAATTACTATTTTTTGCATTTATTTTCCTTGTGGCATGGATCACAAAAGGCATGTGATCTTTTAATTTATTTTATTTATTTATTATTTTTTTGACAGGCAGAGTGGAAAGTGGGAGAGAGAGACAGAGAGAAAGGTCTTCCTTTTGCTGTTGGTTCACCCTCCAGTGGCCGCCGCGGCCCGCGCGCTGTGGCCGGTGCATCGCTCTGATCCGATGGCAGGAGCCAGGTACTTCTCCTGGTCTCCCATGGAGCGCAGGGCCCAAGCACTTGGGCCATCCTCCACTGCACTCCCGGGCCACAGCAGAGAGCTGGCCTGGAAGAGGGGCAACCGGGACAGAATCCGGCGCCCCGACAGGGACTAGAACCTGGTGTGCAAGGCGGAGGATTAGCCTAGTGAGCCGTGGCACCGGCCTCAATTTATTTTATTTATTTAAAAGAAAGAGAGACCTCCCATCCACTGGTTCATGCCCCAGATGCTCACCGCAGCTGGTGCTGGGCCAGGCTAGAGTTGGGATCTAGGAACATGATTGGCTGGGACCCAGGCACTTGCATTATCAGCTCAGCCTCCCACGGTGCACAGCAGGAAGCTGGAAGCCAAGCCCACCCAGGACTTGAGCCTAGTTGCTCCAGTACGGGATCCAGGTATCCCACGTGCTATGTGTGTGTGTGTTTGTTTGAAGATT